TAGAAAGTAATCCCTTGCTCAATAATTTTAAAAAGTATATTCTCACGTCAATTTATTACATTTGAGTATTGTATTCAAAATTTAAAATCTTAAATTTAACTTATTTAATAATATTTATTTATTAATAAATTCTAAGATAGGGTCTACCACCAGCATTTACATTCCGTCATCATCCCTTGTAATTCTTCCCATTCCCAACGATGATTTTGTCCGTTCATTTCTCTTCATGATCTATTAATTTTGCAAAAGCATGTGAATTTAATAAGAGGAATGCTAGCATCAGTCGCTTTTCGACACTCGCCTTTGACACGCTCTTTCTCATTTTGCCACCTCACATCTGTTTTTAAGGGGTAAACTGGACACCGACTCTAATAAGTTATGTGTTTAAATTTAGAAATAAAAATTTGAAAGCCAAGGTAAAATTAAAAAATTAATAATAAAAACAAAAGACATGTCATTTTCTCTCACCTCGCTTGTCCCCCAGGCTTCCTTCACCTCTTCCATCTCTCTTCTAGCAATTTAGATCTTGCTCTTCATATTTTCCTGTTCCACTAATTACAAATAAATTGAATACGCTAGTTAAGTTAAAGAAGATTTCTACATTTTTAAAATCTCATTTTTTTGAGAAAATCATAAGATTCAAAAAATTAGAGAAAGCACATAACATAAAGGTAATTTTTTACCACTTAATTAATTGTGTATTAAATAAATATTATACCATGTAACAAAAAAAAATAAATATTATACCACCAAGCACTTGAGGAGGACAGCTATGGCGGATTGAAATACACAGAGACATTTCCTTACCCATTTGGATCAGCTTCTTTATTTATCTTCGTTCTTTTTTCTTTTTTTTTTTCCTTTTTTCTTAAAAAAAATTGTAAAACACAAAATAAATTGGGAAGACTCCAAAACCCCACCCAATGCCATAACCATCCAAAATCACAGTAAACTGCTAAGAACAGTAGTTTTGCCTTCGGGAGAAGACCGTAGAATAGATTTTTTTTTTTTTGGCCATCGGAGAAGAGAAGTTGGAAAGTTGGAAAGTTGTTTAGGTTGCGTGGGGCGCCGTAAAAGAAAGGCTGAAAGATAGAACCGATGAAGATGAACGAAGGAGGATATTTGATTTTGGTACTTTTTCTTTTTGAACATCAAAACATAGCAACAAAATGAAATAAATCTGAGGAGTGAGGATTTCATCTGGTGGATTCCTACATTTGAGTCTTTGATTGCCACTTTGTAAAAAAAATTGATTTTGACTATGTTGAAGATGGATGGAGAACTGGAGAAGAAAGACTTGGAAAGAGAGAGAAGGTAGGAGAGAGAAATGAGGAAATGAAAAGGAGGAACAAAATAAAGAACCGACTGTAGTCGGTTCCCAGTTCAGATATCCCATTCGGTGACTACGTGGCAGCATAACGTGGAGGGTGCTAGAGCGAGTGACGAAGGGCGATTGCCCTTAGCATTCCTCATTTAATAATATTTCTTGATATATCATATACGAATTAATTTATAATAGCTAATGACCCATGAAATATGCATATATTTTTTTTTCATTATGGGTAGAAATGGAATCATTAGTTCGGCACTTCTTTTGGTAGTGGCTAAGATGGGAGGTTAAGGATGTGCCTTAGCTGTAGCTGAATTGGCAAGAAAATAAATGTAGAATGAGACTAATCATAATGCACTAGCAACTTTTGGAGTTAATACTGTGTATTAAATACTCTATTTTATATTACGATTCAAGTTTTTGTTGACATAATATTTTTTCTTTCTCCTGAAATTCTTCCTTGTTTAAAAAAAAAAATCATAAGAAGTTTTGCTTTGAATCGAAGTAATGAGCAAAATTGGTCAACCAACTAAATCACTAACTTTTAAACATTAATTTTTTTTTAACCTTCAATTACTCATGGGGTAATTTGCTTTTATTTTTTAATTACTCAAAACATTTTACTTCAATTAAATTTTTTTATTGCACAATAAAAAACAACTATTTTTCATTTTTTATCTCACTCCACTTATATGTCATGCTATTTGAAATCAAAATATTTTATTTTCAACGAAAAAAAATAATCACTAAATTATTTAAATTGTTAACCAATTAAAATTATTATTAAACTAATTAAATCGTTAACATAAAAATATTTGGTTGAACTTAAAAGTTAAAGCCAAAGCCAAACAAAAATTTTAAAACATGCTCCCTACCTTTTAAGATTATTTTATATAAATAAATAAATGTATTATTCGACCCATTTTCAAAAACTCAACCCATACTTAATCCTCTAGCACAAAAGAAAAATTATAAGCTACCAATTGCAAGTGATTTCCCAAATTCCCAGCTTACAAAGCCATTTTGGTGGGTTCCATTAGCTAAAAAACGCAAGTTGACCAATAATCTAAACAACTGTTAATTCGTCCCGCAGTGATTTTGCTCCTGCTTTCCCCTTCATAATCGTCATTAATTTTGCCAAAAACACATCAATTTAGTAGTGTTTCATGATCGTTGTTTTTCATGATGGGTGCAATCGGAGTCATGAATCAGCCCTTTCTTTTGGTAACGACAAATAAAGGCCATTGAAATTGAAATAAGTCCAAGTGCTTTCCAGTATACATTCGATGGTAAAATATTGATTATTAAATAAAATATATTTTTTTTATTTTTTTTTAAGTTAAATTACAAATAAATATAGTTTAAATTATAAAATTATTAAAGTATATTTAATAAAATAAAATAAAATAATTTAAAATTGAAATTCTAATTTATTTTAAAAATTAAGATTGATATATATTTTTCACAATATATATATGTATT